CTAATAGTGAAAATCAAGAAGAAATTATTTGTTCAGAAGAAATTTATTTGTTTAGAAGACAACATTTCAGGTTAGGGTGAGACTCACTCCTAATGGTGTGTGCTTAAAACTTTGCTATTCTAAGTGTGTCCAGTAGCATCAGCATCACCTGGGAGCTTGTCAGAAATGCAGGATCTTGGGCCCCACTCTAACCTACCGCATCAGAATCTACATGTTAATAAGATCTGCAGATGATTTGTATGTATATTAAAATTTGAGAATAAAATATCAACGTGCAAAGTTCCTACCATCAGGCAGTCTATCAAGATAATTAATACATTTAATCTTATTGAAAAGTAGAAATTAAATTACTAACTCAGGGAGGTACATAAATAGTGTGGCATTTGCCAAATCGTTAAGCATATCTCAGGTGGCCACCTCTAGAACCTGTGTTCACGGGTGGCTTCCGGGGATTCCAACATAGCACGCTATCCCAGCCACTACTCAGTTGCCATCTTGTAGTGTCTCTACCCTCTTCAGGTTTTGTGTCCACTTCATGTATAAAAATCAGTAGCCGTCAAGTCGACTCTGACTCGTGGCGACCCTGTGTATGAGAATAGGGCTCTGTAGGGTTGTCTATGGCTGATTTTTCAGAAATAGATCACTAGACCTTTCTTCCAAGGCACCTCTGAGTAGACTGAAACCTCCAACCTTTTGGTTAGTAGCTGAGCACATTAACCATTTGCACCACCAAGGACTCCCCTTCATGTACAGCCCCCAAATATGTGGAACAGTAACACTGTAGGATATAGAAGGTAGGAGATGATGAGAGATAAGGAACATTAGCCTTAAGCCCAACCATGTTCTTCCATACTTAAAATACACCAAGTCCACATTTTGATCACTCCTGCACTCCTTGGCTGAGTCTACCATATACGAATTGTGCCATGCTGTGGGTTAAAAGACTTAGTGGCTTTTGTGTCTTGTCACTAGAACAAGCTGGGATGACTGGGATTAATCTTTCTTATTTACACCTTGCAAAGTACTTCTAGATTCCTTTTAGCAGCAGGTTTTCACAATAGTCATGAACATCCCATAAAGTGCATGACATGATGTGATTTTCAAAATTTGATCTGTTAATATGATGAGCTATTTTAAGACTATAGTAAAAGTATATCCGTAAGCATATCCTATAAAAAAAAAGAATCTCACAGTGAACAAAGAAGATTAAGTAAAGCATCAGTTGACTTTTACAGTTAAAAAAAAATATCCTGGGGTGGAAATTATAATGATGTTCTTTATAATTGTTCTGAAAAAAAACCCATCAACTCTAAGGAAGTTATAACAGGCCTAATTAATGCTCCAGTTGTTCCTCCTGAGAAACAGATTTTTTATGTAATGTAAATGGGCTTCATAGGAAATGTTCTTGTTCATATTTAATAGGTATTCCGTGCTTTCCTACAGATTATTAACATACTGCACCTCAAAATAGGAAATGAAGTTTTTTGTGTTTGTGTTTTTGGTTTTTGCTTTACGTTCATAGGGTCACTATGAGTTGGAATCGACTCGACAGCAACAAGTTTGCTTTTGATTTTGGCTTGTTGTTTTTGTGCTTGTACTATACAAGGAAGAAAGTAAATAAAACGTGAGAAAATTGACAAATTTTTTAACTTAGCCATATGTATTTTTGACACAGTAGTTATACTTGGGTTGAAGACAGTTTAATCAATATGTGTTTAAACGTGTTTGATTCATGGCATGGTTGAAGGAAAATATAATTTTAGTTAAACTAAAATAGTTTTTAATTTGTCAGTATCTGTATCTAGCCAAATTAGTCTGCGCGGTCATGAATCGTGGCTCTACCACTTTCTAACTGCATGACATGGAGCATTTAACGTCTCTAAAACTCAGTTTCTCGTCTGTAAAGTAGGGCTAAAAATAATACCTGTATCTTGGATTATTCTGAGAATTAAATTAGATAATATACCATATTTTTATGCAAATAATGCGTGCCTTCTTCCTTTGTTTGCCAACCACTCCCTCCCATTATGAGCTATTTTCATAAGGGCCACTATGCCAATTTGTTTTACAAGTTGCTGTAAAAAAAAAAACTAGCATAGTGAGCTTAGGAAAATACCTCACGGGGTAGAGGGGAGGAAGGGGGGGAATACCTCCTGGTTGGGGGAGCAGTTGGCAAACAACATAGAAGGCACGTGTTATTTGCATAAAAATACCGTGTTTTAAAAGTATTTAACAGAGTGCCTGGCCCTTAATAAGAGTTCAAATCATGTTAAGTATTAGATTGCTTTGTTTTATCACTCTATCATTCATAGGAGTGCCATAGAGGGAAATGAAGTTCTGATATATGCTATGATATGGATGATATGGATGAACATCGAAAATATTATGCTAAGTGAAATAATCTAGACACATGTTGTATGATCCCCCTTGTGTGAAGTATCTAGAATAGGCAAATTCATGGAAACAGAAAGTAGACTGATGGTTATCATGTGCTGGAGGAGAAGGGTAAGTAGGGAGTTTTTGCTTAATGGGTACAGACAGAGTTTATGTTTGGGGAAATTAAAAGTGTTTTGGAACTCAGTAGTGTGATGGTTGCACAATGCTGTATATATGCATAATGCTACTGAATTGTACACTTAAAATGGCTAAAATGGCAAATTTTATGTTAAATATATTACACCACAATAAAAAATTTTTAAATAAAATGAAATATAAAACCCTCCTACCTATATACCCTTATCTCTCCTGTTCCTCTCGCTGAAGCCATACTACTTGCAAGAGCAGTCGGTCTGTCTCCGTATCTTCAGTTCCTAGTTCTTCCATCTCCCAACCTACCTATTGTAGAGCTTCTTCCCTGTAAATGCAAAAGTCTGCCAGTATCTTTCTTGTTGCTAAATCCAATGATCACTTTTCAGCTCTGATGTTTCTGACCTTTCTTCAACATTTTACATCTTCCTTGATATTCTCTTGGTTCTCCTCTGCTTAGTGTCTCCATGACCTTCTTCCTTAGTCTTCCCTTTAAATGCTGGTGTTCCCATAATTCCACACTTGGCTTCTTTTATGCACACACATCATGGAATCTATTACTGTGAAATCTACTACCACTTCTTGCTGAAAAATCCTAGATGTATATATCTTCTGCCTTGTCTCTCTGTCTCTTTCTCTATCAACTTCCCATTCCCCACCCAGTAACTTCTTAGTGTGTCTTCAATAAATTCTCTCTACCAGTGCTTATATTCAGCAACCACTTGCTACCAGGTAATATGCTAGACAAGAGGATTACAACAAAATTTACTTACTCAAAAGGCTTTAAGAGACCTGGAAATAGCATCTGATTCATCCTCCTATTTTTAGGTATTTCCTTCATTTTCATTCACTTGTAACTTTTTTTTCTTTATTGGCTGCCATTTATTGGTGCCCAATTACCAGGCACTGAGGTATATGCTAGGTATCCAATGTCTTGGGAAATGTGATAGAAATTAATTTTACTTTGCTTAGCTTTGTTTGTCTGGTTTGTTGCTTCTTTGAATGAATTTAGAAGGTAGGTGAGGAGGGATGCTGAATTCCATATTGTAAATTTTGAATTTGAAGTGATGTTGGACCATCTGGGTGAAGATGTCCTGCTGGCAATTGTACATGTGACTCTGCAGTCTGCATCTGGTGTCAAAGCTGAAGAGATGTATTTGAAAGTAGTCAACATAGAAATGCTTCTCTAATCCACATTCTTTAAGTTTTAACTCAAGTCTGAACTATAATTGTAGAACCCCAAGTATACTTTTATTGGAAGAATCCTAAGTTCTCTGATTTAACGCTTCTAAGATCTACAGATGTATCTCTATTTTCTGACATATGTTGATTCAAATTTAAAAACGCGTTCTACCAAAAAACCAAACCCATTGCTGTCGAGTTGATTCCAACTCATAGCAACCTTATAAGACAGAGTAGAACTGCCCCATAGGGTTTCCAAGGAGCAGCTAGTAGATTTGAACTGCCAATCTTTTGGTTAGCAGCCTGAGCTCTTAACCACTGCACCACCAAGGCCCCATATCTTCTTCAGTGTCTCTGAATTACCCATTCATTCAACAATATTTATTGAGGACAGAATCATGACAAACCCTGTGCTAGTCATTGGAGATAATGTGTGACCAAGGTAAATATGGGTTCTGCCCTCCTGAAGCTTCAGTCTAATTGGGGAGAGAGCTGTCAATCAAATAATCATAAATAACTATAATTAAAAGATGATATGTATAAAAGAAGGCTCTAGCCTAGTCTGGTTCGTGGACACCTCCTTTAAGGAGTGGTATATACTGTGAGACTGAAGAATGGGTAGTAGTTACCCAGGTGTAGAGGGGAAAGGCCTTCTAGGCAGCAAAAAGGACACATGAAAAGACCTTAAGACAAGGAAAAAAACTTGTCAAATTTGAGGAAAAGAGGAAAGACCTGGGTGCTGGAGCACAGTAAACAAAAAGTTAAAAATAGATGAGGCTGAAGAGGCAGGCAGGGGTAAACGATGTTCGAGTTAACTGAATGAACTTTTCTCCAGTCACAACTTAGCCTCCAGAGCCAAGAACTACCTCCAGGGAGCACATCCTGACAAAGAGAAAATGGGAGCCTAAAAATGCCCCGTCTTATGTTTCGCTGCATGTGCCTCCTTGACAATTCAACCTATTGGATCTGATTTTTAAAAGCAATATTAAGGTGTAATTGATATACAATAAAGTGAACATATTTAAAGCATACAGCTTGATAACTTTTATATATATATATATATACACCTGTGAGACCGTCACCACATCAAATTAATGAAAATATCCATTGCCCCCAAAAGTTTCCCCACACCCTATGCCCCACTACCCTCATCTTTAGGCAGTGATTGATCTGTCATGCCTAGAACAGGGTTTGACACCTAAAATAAACATTTGTTGAATAAATGTAAACAGAATCCATTTGGAGAATTAGCTCTTGGTCTTATGTTTGCTTGGTTGCTCCATCTTTTCTAGGTATGCAGTGCTATTCAGAATCAGGATTTCACTGTAATCAACGACTACTGCACTGGCCTTAAAGCACTTCTTTATCTGAAAAACATTGAAGAACTGCAAGACTGGGATGGTCAGAGTCCAGCCACCGTGCGTCACCAGAAAGGGAAACCAGTTTCACAGATCGCGGAACTCACCGGAAAGGTATGTGCTCACCTCTCCTGTGTTATCCCTGAGAACTGTACCTCGGTCAGTTTTTATTCCAGGTATTGTTTGCCCTCTCACAATGCTCACTAATGGAGGAAATAGTATTGTTGGATGTGATTTTCTACAGTAGAATCTTTCTGAAGGAGGCTTGATTACAGCTATATGATGAGTCTGCAAGTTATATTTTTATAAAACCAGTATAACACAAGGTCATAAAAAAGAAAGAGATTGAAGTTTGTAGTGTGAAGTGCCTCCAAATTCTTGCTTACTGTGGTGATGATGGGCATTGTTTTCGGTGAGAGGCTGGAGATGTCTTTATTCTCTAACAGGCTCTGGAAATTAACATTACCTTTCTATTTTCAAGACAATCAAATCACTGGAGTCCCAAATAACATAGGGATGTTCTTAAAATTAAATTCTAATCAACATCTTTTGTAACTGCTTCTGCTATGTGGTTAAACCTGGGCTCAAAAGGTTATGTCCCAACTTTCTCACTCGCTGCTATTTTCAGAGAAATGTACACTACATTTACATTTTGTATAATACAGTGATTTTAGCAACCCTTTTTCTAAAACAACATTCAACATTTTGCCTTTGTATTTCCTTTGTATTATTCTAAATAGACAACCATTGTCAGAAGACATTTCTGAGTCGTGAACGAAGAGAGGGAAAAATTACAATTCTTAGTCTTTTCACCTTGTCACCACATCAATAATTAACTTCCAAAAAAGAAAAAAAAAGAGAGGCGGTATAAAAAGATTCTTTAAGGAAGCATTTAATAATTCAAATGAATCTTAACTTGAAACAGGTCACGTGAAAAAGAATGGAAAACAAAAACCCTGGGTACTTTTCCTTGGATGGATTAGGGACTCAGAAAGAATAAGAGAAACATCATCTACCTGTCTTTCATTTGGCTGGTTTTAATGGAAAATATCACCGTCCCTTTACTAGCAGTCAAAGTCAAGTCTTCTTGAAGAATAATGCGTATGATTGCAGGTCCAGTAATGAAAAACAAAAGGGGGAAAGAAAGAAAATCTTTCAGTGTGGGTTCCAGGAAAATATGATGAATGACTCCATGAGTGGCAATCAAGCAGAAAGGCTGGGTGACATTAATATTTATAATACTGTAATTAGCAAGACTGTGCCTAAGCAGCATTATTAGTCTGACTAATCATATTATCATAAACTGAGTCTGCACTATTTAGACAGTGAGTGTTCTTGCCTTTATCAATGACTGTCAATATCCCAAGGTTTTTTCATAGCTCAATAAATTCACAAATGACTTTATATTCCTTCCATGTAAATATCTCAAGGACATTGTTTCTGACATGATGGTTTATGACCATCTATAAAGGCATTGTCTCAAATTTGGGTGGTTGTCATGTGAGCTGAAATGTAAGTAGCTGCGCTGCACTGTGTCATTTTGTCTTTCAAGGACTTTCACTCTTATTTCTCAAAACTTACATATTCAAATAAAAGATGGATAATGACAATGACACTTTTGTCGATGACATAAATGGAAATTGATTTTCAGGTAGTTTGAATTTGGATTCAGACTTTCTTTACTTTGGTTGATGTGGTAAGCCCAGCCTTCATTATAATCGTAAGTGTAATTGTCAGCATTATCATTTGAAAAAAAAAAAAAGATTCTGCCTTTGTGATTATATTAATGATTCATTTCTCAACACTAAGTTCAGGAACCAGCAGATGGTCTGGTAATAGATTTGTGCTCCTGGATTCTCTAGTGCTGGCTGGCATGACTAAAACAATAGATGAATATCCCCTTCAGGTTAATATTCTTAATAGTGAATCAAAGCACTCTGGATCCAGGGTACAGGTGGCTTCCTAATTGTTCCTTCTTAGTGTCACTGTTTTGTGTGTGTGAGTGTGTGTGTCTTTGAAAACAACTCATATTATGTTCTCATTAACTAAAGAATAGGACAGTTTCTTTACAGTGTTTTCATGCTACGTGGAGAACAAGAGAAGATGTACTCCCTTTTTACAACGACTCTCCAGAAGTGCCTGGCTTCTTTATACAGGACGGATTTGTTTGGAAAGGACAATTGTTACTCAATCTTTCATTCATAGTTCAGGCTAGAATAAATTAGATATTTAGAAGAAATCAAGTACAATGCAGTATTTCAGAATGGAGAGAAAATGAGGCTTTGGAGATAGAAACAAGGATTTGGTCAAGATATTCACTTAATCTTTTCAGTAATGTTGTTGTTGTTGTTGTTAGGTGCCGT